TATTTTTGCATTATGGGGTCTGCAAATTGGCATGTAACCGCTAAATTGCAGGTTCAAAATATTTATGTTTATGAAGCAAAAAGTTTACCAAAACTCTCCAGACTAATTCAAGCTATTGTCCTCATATGAATTGTTTTGGCACAGGCAATAAACTTACGTAGGTATGTGGTAGGTAGGTGTCTGAAGGGGTGGTCAGGTGGTTAACATGCAAACCACAACCGCACTAAGCACGTAATAGCGTCTATAGCGTACGAGGTGTGTTCAGAAAATATTGGGAATTTTCTTTTTTTGAAACAAATATTTATTATATTTATTATATTTATTTATATTTATTTATTCGTCTATACATTAATGTTGTCGCCTTCAAAATAGTCCCCATTGGATTTTATGCGCATGAGCCAGCTATTTTTCCAATAATCGAAACCCTTCTAAAACTCGATCGTTGGGATAGCCTTTAGTTCTTTCAGCGATGCGCTTTTAATGCCATCTTTGCTTGCAAAACGACGGCCCTTTAAGGTTCTCTTTATTTTTGGGAATAGGAAAAAGTCAGACAGAGGCATGTCTGGCGAATATGGAGGCTGGGGCATCATTACCTACAGTATTTTTTTTGGACAAAAATTTTGTTCTAAATTTAACAATTTTGGAACAAATTTTGCTGCCACGCGTTTCATACCCAAAACATTCGAAAAAATTTCATGGAATGAGCCAATCGATATACCAACATCATCAGCGACTTTTCTGATGGTTTATAACCATTTCTTCCACTTTTTCCATGTTTTTATCGGTTGTTAATGTGCTTGTGCGTTCGGGGTGTTCGTCATCTTCAACGTCTTCACGGCCATCTTGGAAACTCTTATACCACTTGTAAACTCTTGTTTTACTTATAGCAGACTCACTATAGGGCTTTGTTAACATTTCACAGAATTTATTTCATTTTTTAAGCCAAATTGGATACAAATTCTTTAATCCATTTCTTTTAACGAACGAAAAATCGCCGAGCTCATAAAACACGTCTAACCTTAGCGGCTGCCACAGACAAAGTAAACAATGAAAACAGCTAAAGTTTTTATCATACTTCGGGGGCATGTACACCAACATAATAAAGAAAATTTTATGACAACCGGACCCTCTGAACCCGCGAAATTTAACAATTTCCGTTATTTTCTGAACACACCTCGTATACTCTAAAACCATGCACAACTCTTGTAATTTTCAAAAATGTTGTAGACCTAGTAACAAAAGAATTTGTTGGAAATTGGGAACTTAAATAAAAAGAATTTTGATAAGAAATATTGCTATTAATCAATTTCCTGAACAAAAAAAATTAACACAAACTTACATAAATGAATACAAAAATAACATACACACAATTAAATATCACACTATTCTGAAATCATAAAATTTAGTACAATATAATTATCAGTAGGTACTACACAAAAAAAATAAGCTGTTGAAACAACAACAAAAATATTAATTCAACTCTTTATGCACTTTAAATACAAGCAATGGTTTTTGCACGTTTACTTAACCATCTAAAAATGTCAAATTGTATTGTTTAATTGAACAACAAATAACAGTCAAATGAACAAAATGAGAATATTTGTTCTAATCTGCTAATTTGGTTAATTTAACATTCTTACGGTGTTAAGGTAAATTTCTTGAAATGTCCAGGTAACCTTTTTAGCATATTCACTTAACACCAATAAAATGTTAAATTAAAATAATTTGCGCTAATGTTCCAAAACGGTTGAGTTAACATTCTGAAAAGGTAAAAGTAAAATTTTTATATAAAGAGAAAGAATTGAACCCTCACCTCGCCAGAGTTTTTGTGTTGAGTGCGTTCCACCTACTATAAATACCGACAGACAGCTGTTTCGACCTAAATTGGGGGTCTTATCAGTGTCGGGCAATTTGGTGTAGTGGAAGTTCCACTGTGAAGCACACCCAAAACAAACGGCTACCTGAGCTTATATACCTTATATCGTAAGCCAACTGTGGCGAGATGTAAGAACACGTGATCAACACCGTCTAATGACGTGGCGTGGGTGTTCGAAGCGCCCTTCTCGGCAATTTTATGAATGCAAATTTAACATTTTAAAGTAACATTTACAATTTGTTAAATGTTTAAATTTAATGTTTTGGATTAAAAAGAAACTAAACGTTAATTTAATAGTTTTTTTTTTTAGGTAATCCTAAACATTTCAGTATTTGATTCAACCAATTCCAGCTATCAAATCAAAATAGGATAAACATTTTAATTCAAAAAATTAGTTTATGTTCAATCAATATTTTAACTGTCAATTGAACAAATAAACTTTGACAAACTCTGACTATTGCTTTGACACCAAAATATAGATTAATCCAATAGGTTTTTTGTTGAAACAACATTTTCAAAAATGACATTAACTCAACTACATTATTTTTTTCGGTGCAGAGGCGACATTTTATTTTAAGGATTTGTATTATTACTTAAATGAATTAACCAGGCATAACGTAAATTTAACGTTAATTTAATCAGTTGTGCTACTTGGGTTGGTGTGTTAAAATATTGCATCTAATCTCAATGTGGAAAATTGTGATTGGAGGCTTCGTTTTGGAGATAGAAAGAGTTTAAAAATCATGTCGAAAATGCAAAATTCCTGTTTTCGAGAAGTAATATTTTTGGCCCATTGCATGGGCTTTCTTGGAAAAAAAAAGAAAAAGTGGAGCTCCACATTTATTAATTATCTTTATAGGTTCCCAAGCAGCATTTTAAGTTTAAATAACTACAAATTTACTACTAAGTTAACTTTAAAGTATTTTTTACGGTTAACCAAAACGGTTTTATAACAGTATAGATACGAAAAATTACCAAATTTGGGGAATGGTTTATTTCGTTATTTTACCCACATAATAACCTTTTTGATCTACTAAGAGAATTACGTAATAAAAACAATATAAATACCACAAATTTACGTAAAAATAACGCTATAATTACTAACTGTTTCCTCTCTCTTTCTTAAACATTGATATTCGTAATTTCTTTGTTTTTTTAATTTATATTTTACAAAATGGTAGGTACTTAGGTAATTACAAAGTAATAAAGGCCACCCTAGAGTAAAATACAAAATATAACTTAAATTGTCAAAACCATTGATATTTTGCATGCAAAGTCAAACGCACATTATTTTATTGATAAAAATATGTATGATACGTCTTAAAAATTATATGCCCTCTAAATATTTTACGGTTTTAAGAAAAATTATTGCTTGGGTAAAAATTCAACAAAACTTAAAACCTACAAAATTTTATAAAATCTTTTAAAAATCATTTAGTTTTAATCATTTTTTAATAACTAAAACTTTTCTTATTATATTTTAGAAAGATATTTATGAGGCGCCGTTTGTGCCATAATTAAACTCTCCAATATATATATAATTTTGAATATATATTTATTTTTTACTTTATATGTATTTGTATTTCATATTTTAATATATGTTTTTATATATATATTTATTTTTTTAAATATATATTTAAATGCACATATATATATATTTGTAGTTTCTTTTAATATATTTATAAAATTTGACTTCAGCATTTGATCGCTAGAGGCGCTGCTCAACTTATTAAATGTGGCAACGCTGTAGCAAGTGCTGCACCCAATTAGCCAATAGGAGCTTTTGTTTACGAATTAAAATAACGGTTTGTTCTGCAAGGTCTCTGCGTGGTTAAAAAAATTTACCCAGTGTTTTAAAATTATTAATAAAACGGAATATTGCGAGTATCTACGTGTCTCCCTAAATAAAACCATACAACAGCGGTTTAAAAGGCGCTTTAAATCCAAGATACCTAAACCCAAAGAACACACACTTAAATTAAATCTTTGTATCATAAAATAATGACAACACAGGGAAAACAATGTTTACCGTTATTTTAAATAAGTAAACAAAACCTCCCATTGGCTAATTCGGCGAGGCCCTAGCTACAGCGTTGACACATTTGATCAGTTGAGCAGCGCCTCTAGCGGTCAACGGGTGAAGTCGAATTTTATAAATATATTAAAACCAAATACAAATATATATTTGTACATTTAAATATAAATTTATATATATATATATATATATATATATATATATATTTATAAAAATAAATATGTATATAGAAAACATGTATAAATATATGAAATAAATATATATATATATATATTGTAAAAAATACATAAATATGCAAAATTAAATATATATAGGAGAGATTAATTATGGCACAAACGGCGCCTCATATAGATAGAGATATTTATGAAAAAATATTATATAAATGTTTAGATAAGTAATGGATGCCATCTTAAAAAACTCATTATGGCGGCCTAAAAAAAAATTCCTGCAAAGTTTTATTTTTCACTTTAAGCTTATTTTTCCTTGTTTAGTCAATATTATTAGTATTTATTACCCACTAATAACCCTAAAAAATACCAGGCGAATAGGAATTATTTACGGTTATAAAGTGGTCTTAATATCGTAAAATTATGACTTATGAGTAACATTTACCATTAAGTAAAAATTCTGACGTTAAAATTACCGTTAAATTTTCCTTTAGGTGAAATACACTTATAAGTAATTTTCTTTCGTAAAAATTACGTCCCTCATAATACTTTAAAGTGTTGAAACTTAAGGGTTATTAAAATAGGTAAAAATAACATAAATAAAACTTATATTATAACTTTAAAAAAAGTTTTACTTCAAAGTAAATTTTTAAGGTTAATTTAACAAAATATTTACTTAAATTAAGTAATATTGCCTCAAAACTCTACGCTTTTACTTAAAATGCTGCTTGGGTTATCATTGTTTAAACGAGTAAACAACTTTAGTGGAACTTAAACAACATCTGTCAAACAGTTCTTCAAATCACAAACTGAACCACCCTGTATAAAATTGTGAACAAAAATATACTATTGTCAATTAGTGACATTACTTATTTGGCAACCTGTCAAATTAAATTTTCCTTGGTTTGTCAAAACTTTCAAGATGTCAGACGCAGAAACATCGAGCGATGAAAACCTTACAGCTTTCACAGAAATGGAATATCGCTTTGTTAAACAGAACACCAAAATTAAAACGCACCACTTCATACAAGCAACCAAAAGCTTGGTAAAACTATTGGAAAAAATAGGAAAAATGTTTGCACCTGTGGTGTACGACCTAAACGAAAGTGTAAAGAAGTTATTAGGCAAATATGAACAGAACAAAGTAAAATATAAGTATTTGGAAGATATAATCATAGAAGAAAACGAAGTGAGTCTACAGATATTAGATGCTGTTGTATGGATCAAAAGAAATATGCAGTTTTTGGCAAAGTTTTTCCAATGCATAACTGATGACACGTATAATCTAGCCCACGATTTGACAGTTTCCCTTAAAGAAACCTACACCGAAACATTGGAACCGCACCATGGCTGGTTGGGAACACAGTTATACAATGTTCTGTGTAAATTTGCCCCATGCAGAAGAACCTTTTTGTATGTACTGGCTTTGGACAAACACGACAAACAAAATTTGGTTTTGAAGGACATGAAGAACTTTGTGCAAGAGTTAAATCACACTGCTACGTATTTAGAGGATTTTATTACGAAAAATAATCTTGAGTAATGTTTAAAATGGATTGTTGAATAAATGTATTTTCTTTGTGGGTTGTTTAAAGGTAATGTGCTACCTTTTTATGTTCGACAAATTGAGTTTCGTGAAAATGAGTTAAAAGGATTTTATAAATAATCCAGAAGGAGAAATAATACAATTTATTTTAACAAAACTAAAAATACTGTTTGGCATAAAACCGAATTTTACTTTTGCTTTAATAACTGTATGAATTACTTGGTGCTAAACAGGTGACAGGAAGAATTTGTGGTAAATTGTCGCAAATAAATGTTGTAAACTTACCTATTATATTAAAAACACATAATTTATTTGAAATTTGAACATATTTTAATCTAATCGGCTCATATAATTTGTGTAAGTGTAAATGGGTATTTTAGAGACTTTTTTAATATAATATTTTGTGGTGAAATTGCACAAATTGTGGCACATAATAACACAACATTGTTTAATAATAATTTCTCCAATTTATTTAAAAATTTTAATAATTTTTGGGATGCGAGGGTGGTAAAAAAGAAAATGAAACTAATTAATTTAGATACTTATGTATTCAGCGACTTATACAAAAAATATGGAAAATAGAATACCTAAACTTAATTTAAACTGACACTGGTAACATAAAATAAACATAACAAAACATAAAATACAAACTGAAAAATAAAATTTGTATAGCTAATTCTAATAATATTGGGATGTAATTCAACATGAAATGCGACTCCACTTATAATAATCAAATGTCGATAGATTAAATATGTATTCAGCGACCAACACAAAAATTATAGATGGAATTAAGTTAATATGAACTGAAAACTTAAATTACAAACTAAAGTATAGTATAAATAGTAAGCTGATCAATAATGTAGCACAGTATACTGTGGAACATAGAAACACTTTTTATCCTCATTTGATCACCAGGTCATAATTATTGATTTATTCCAGTCCCTGAACAATTTTGCAAACACCTACCTATAGGTACCTATTCGGGAAAATAATATTCAATAATTACTCACCAGAAATGTGGCACTAACCTCACAATGATATATCACTGAAAAAAATAAGCTGTTGAAACAACAAAAAAAATATTAATTCAACTCTTTATGCACTTTAAATACAAGCAATGGTTTTTGCACGTTTACTTAACCATCTAAAAATGTCAAATTGTATTGTTTAATTGAACAACAAATAACAGTCAAATGAACAAAATAAGAATATTTGTTCTAATCTGCTAATTTGGTTAATTTAACATTCTTAGGGTGTTAAGGTAAATTTCATGAAATGTCCAGGTAACCTTTTTAGCATATTCACTTAACACCAATAAAATGTTAAATTAACATTCTGAAAATGTAAAATTCTTTAAAGGTTGGTATCCAAAACAAAATTATGGAAATAATATATTATTATATATAAATAGAAAGAATTGAACCTTCACCTCGCCCAGAGTTTTTGTTTTCAGCGTGTTCCACCCATGATACATCTTTGTATCATGTGTTCCACCTACTTCAAATACCGACAGACTGTTTCGCCCTGTATTGAGGGTCTTAACAGTGTCGGGCAATATGGTGTAGTGAAAGTTCTACTGTGGAACACACCTTAAACAAACAGATATCTCATCTTATATACACCTAATCGTAAGCTAACTAAGGCGAGATGTAAGAAAACGTCATTGTCTAATGACGTGGCGTGAGTGTTCGAAGCGCCATTCTCGGCAATTTTATGAATGCAAATTTTACATTTTAAATTTTAAAGTAACATTTTAAATTTGTTAAATGAACAAATTTAAAGTTTTGGATTAAAGAGCAACTAAACGTTAATTTAATAGTTTTTCTAGGTAATCCTAAAAATTTCAGTAGTTGATTCAACAAATTCCAGCTATTAAATCAAAGTACGATAAACATTTTAATTCAAAATATTAGTTTATGTTAAATTAATATTTAAACTGTCAAATGAACAAATAAACTTTGACAAACTCTGACTTTTGCTTTAACACCAAAATATAGATTAATCCAATAGGTTTTTTGTTGAAACAACATTTTTAAAAATGACATTTAGGCAAATGTTAACTCAACTACATTATTTTTTTCGGTATACCCTTCCCAACATTAACTAAAACTGCAAACTGATTATGCAGATTGCAGTTGAGCGACCGGCGTCTTATTTCTATCGGGAAATCATTTCATTGGTTATCTTAGGATGGTGTGATGCTTCACTTTCGAACAAAGTTATATTATATTTATAAAAATTATTTAAAAAATTGTACAAAAGAGTAACATTCATTTTTGAAATATTCTTAATAACAGATTTTAACTCTTTTCTTGACAAAATTGTGCAAATGGTTAAATATAAAATCTTCCAACAAATTATAGAAAATTGACTGAACAAACTAATTAGAAAAACCATTCCAACTATTTTGGATAACGTAGCACATTTATAGAAAATTTTGCTCCAATGGCATGTTGCACAACTTTGTGTTTTTCAAACGAATTTTTCTCTGTGTGAGGTTTAAAAATAATTTAATTTCATACATCTCAAATTTATTTAAAAAAAAAGCAAATATACCCAGAGTTTCGGAAATTCTTTAATTTCTTTTATGCAACGAGTAAGAGAGAGACTAATGTATTGTGATTGATTGTGTAATCGCTTTGTCCATTTTTCTCTTGAAAATTACGAAATTTTCGATACTTATACTGTTTATTAGGTTTAAAATTTTATTGATGCTAAACAATACATCTCTATATACCCTGGCCCATCGACAACTGATCAAAGTGTTTCCGGACATTGTGAAGAATATCGGGTGAAATTTGTTGGCATTCATTAGTGATGCGGTTCTGTAAATCTTCTAAGGATTAGGGCTGGGTGAAATAAATTTTGGATTTTAGATGCCCCCACAAAAAGAAATCAAGGGGAGATAAATCCGGTGATCTCGCGGGCCATTCGACCTGCCAGGAAACTTTTAATCCAGAAACTGCCTTACAGGTAATGCATAATGGGAAGGAGCCCCGTCTTGCTAAAATATCGGATTTTCTTTATGGTAACGTTGGTTGTTTTTCATAATTTTGATCAGCGCTGGGTTGATGGCATTTTCCAACGGGTCTAAGTAAGTAGCTTCATTTAAATTTCCCGGTAAGAAAAATGGTGCAATTATGTGACCCAACGTTTAATTTCTGATGATGTTGAGTATGAACCTCAAGAAAAATCCTTGGATTTTTGTCGGACCAATAACGACAATTATGACAATTGACAATGCCGGCGGTCATTATCATCTTTATGCAATTCTTAGTTGAATTTTATATGGGTGCCTTTTATTATATATACAAAATTCTCTGTACGGTGGCCCGCGAAACTCCCGTTACATAAGAAAGTTTTCTGGTACTTAATTCGGTAATTTCACCCAGAACAGCTACTTCTACACCGAAAAATATAATGAAGTTGGGTTAACGTTTGCCTAAATGTCATTTTTGAAAATGTTGTTTCATCAGAAAACCTATTGGATTAATCTATATTTTGATGTCAAAGCAATAGTCAGAGTTTGTTTGTTTATTATTTGTTCATTTGACAGTTAAAATATTAATTTAATATAAACTAATTTTTTGAATTAAAATGTTTATCCTATTTTGATTTAATAGCTGGAATTGGTTGAATCAAATACTGAATTTTTTAGGATTACCTAAAAAAACTATTAAATTAACGTGTAGTTGCTCTTTAACTAAACATTAAATTTGTTCATTTAACAAATTGTAAATGTTACTTTAAAATTTAAAATGTTTAATTTGCATATGCATTTGTAGAGCATTTAATTTTCTTAAAAAAATATTTCAATTTTGTTAAACTCAATAGGTTGGGAGTTCCGAGACAAAACTTGCTGAGGATAAAAAAATTTAAATTGCGATGATAGACCTCTTAATATTAATATTATGGACTCAAACTTTTACAAATCTTTGTTGTCACCCCAAACCATATTTTCGATATAATTTAACAAAAAAAAATAGTTGATTTTTTTGGCACAGTCTAATGTTATATACCTACCATTCAATTTAATTTTAAAATAGCATCAACTTTTTTGTTTTGTTTTAACTTTGGTACCGCTATACCCGGCTAAAATTACACAGTACCCAGCGTATATTCTCACATTCTAACGGTAATGGTGCGTTTACTCTTTCCAAGCTAATTATTTCTTAATTATGCAGCCCATTACGAGATAACAGACAATTAAAAAAATGAAAAATTTATAAATTCGCATAAATATTTTTTTAAGCTAATACGGGTCGTAATTTCTAATGGTTTTCGGTAGTCGTTAGCCGACAAACTCGCGATTCCGATGCGGAGCCCGAACCGTGACCACGAATTAACACTAAACTTGCAGATAAGGTCAGTGCAGTAATGTTTAGTTTAGTTCGCTGCCGGATTGTTTCGCTCTTTGTAAACCCCCGTAAATTTCGTGCAACGTGTTTCGCCACAAACGAATTTATAGGGCGGTCGTAAAGTTTGCAAATATTCTGCATGGCGAAATTCTACAAAGCTTTATGGTGCAGCCTTTACGTAATAATTTATGCATGGTAAATCGTTAAAAAGAACTTCCGATTTTAAATTATGAGTTTAAATTTCTTAAACGAACCCGCAAAGTTCCGTTTGAATTTGCCAAGTTCAATGAAGATCATACTTTTTTATAAATTATTTATAAATAAACAACTAATTAAAAAAATGTCAATTGAGATAATGAAATAAAAAAACTACATTTGCAAAAAAGAATATTATTCTGTTTAAAAAAATGAGACACTCGTCTGGGTAAGCCTCTATTTGACGATGCTTGAGGCAAGAGAATTGGAGCTTGGGCTTGCTCTAATTGGTGGTATATCACATGACTAAAGATGTGGTGGATGGCAGTTTGTGTTGCAGTGTGTGTAGAGCTGGTGTTTTAGTTTTGATTTGATTATTTAAAACTGTTGTGTGATCTTTCATAGTTTTTGTCTCGATAAGTAATAGTTATTTATGGTACTAGT